TTTTTTTTTTTTTTTTTTTTTTTTTGTACATATCTAAGTAACAACTTGTTGGAAGTGTTCACATATGACCATTATGACCTGTTATAATAGGTTAAATCCTAGATGTGAACGCTTTCAACAAGTTCGTTACCTAGATGTGTACAAAAAAACAGTTACCCAAATATGAACAAAACGAAATATAAAAATTAAATTACATGAATGGTCCCTGTGGTTTTGGGGGATTTATGTTTTTTATCCCTAACTTATTTTTCAACTTGGATGGTCCCTACTGTTTATTTTTGTTGCGCGTTTGGTCATGTCTTATCTAAAAAGACTATTGTGTCCTTATTAGTTTATTTTTTAATTAATTTTCTTATTTATGTATTTATTTTTTTACATATTTAAAAAAATTAATAGATCACACATATTTGTATCTCCTCAAATGATCCTACTGTTTATTTTTAATTTTTTTTTTAACTCGGATGGTCTCTACTGTTTTTATTTTTGTTACGCGTTTGGTTTCTATCTTACCTAAAAAGACTATTTTTCCCTTATTAATTTTTTTTAATTAATTTTCTTATTTATGTATTTACTTTTTATATATTTAAAAAAAATTAACCGTAAACCTGAAACCATATTTGCGAAATTTAATTTTGGTCTTACTGGTCACCATCTCATCTCTCATCCTCTCAAACTTCTATTTCTTTTCCATTTTTAGTAACATCGACGTCTTCACCATCCTTCTTTTCTTGGTACTTCAATTCTAGCGAACCAACACCATAACATACTGTCTCTTCATCTTTAGTGGGTTGTGGTATTGATTCGACGGAGTTGAAGGACCGAAAAAAGAAGTGATGATGAAGACGTCGATATCACTAGTGATGGAAAACAAATAGAAGTTGAGAATGATGAGAGATGGGATGGTGAGGAGATACAGATATATGAGATCTACTATTTTTTCTTAAATATATAAAGCATAAGTACATAAACAAAAAAATTAATTAAAAAAATAAATTAATAAGGGCACAATAGTCTTTTTAGGTAAGACAGAGACTAAGCTCGTAACAAAATTATACAGTAGAGATCATCAGAGTTAAAAAAATAAATTAATTAAAAAATAAACAGTATGGATCATCCGAGGAGATACAAATATGTGTGGTCTATTAATTTTTTTAAATATGTAAAAAATAAATACATAAATAAGAAAATTAATTAAAAAAATAAATTAATAAGGGCACAATAGTTTTTTTTATGTA